TGTTTGCTTTACTTCTTTATTTACTGTTGTATGTTTTAGGAAAAATACTGTAGGAACTTGTTTGAAAATAGTAATAATCTATATACATATATAATATATAATAATTGAAATGTAACTATTTTACAAAATACTAGTCATCTAAAACATAGCTAAGACAAGTTACTTTATACAGACCAAAGGTCACCTTTGTTATTTGATACGGTAATGTGAGTGCACATGAGGCACATCGTTGTAACTTCTGTACTGTTAGCCTGATACGGGTGAAAGGTCAATGTGATAAAAAATTATAAACGTATAATGTTATGAGATTTAAGCTATTTTGTCTAAACATGTATGTTTTCTTGCTATAATTTGTGTTCATTCTAGAATGAAAGATGCATAATTTATGTTTATTTTCTAATTTTTTATGGTGGTTGCGAGATCAGTCAAATTTACGGAACTCATACAGAGATTAATTACTGAAAATAACAGATAAAATATAAAGTTTTTCTTAAGAAACGTTTGATAACTATTTGGACATTATAAAGATTATTAAATTACTTTTCATGATGTGAAAAGAAAAGAAAAAGGCATGAGAGAAACTTTGCTTTACAAACCCTAAGACTTAATAGAGAAATTTTATATTTTTATGTATGAAAGCATTGTAATGTTTGCTGATAAACTATCAAATTTTGTTAACATTTGCTTACTAATTTACAACAAGCGCGAAATGGTTATGAGGTCGGTCCAAGGGACCGAGCCCGGGTTGAAAGAGTTAATAGGAATGATACTTGAACAAACCAACAAATAATACTAGGTAAATGGAAGTTTTCTAAAACCTTTACTTTGTATAGATTCTTTCAAAACAAGTGTTCAAAGTATGAGCCAAATTTGAAGTTCAGGATGGACAAATGTTCTGGATGCACACACACACACACACACTCAACTAAAGATGGTGTATATGAAAGAAAGATTTTATTGCATGTTGACATATCTTTAGTGGCACAGACTAAAAAAAGGTTCAATTAATAATCCAATTGATGTTGGCCTTTATTTTCATGATGTAAAATGATACATCTCTATATGAGATGTGACATCCTCCTCAACATATTAGGGTGGCCTTAGTGAAACTTTCAATAATATTTTGTTTCAAAGTGTCAGCTGTTTCATATTGTTCCTTTGCCACACACTGTTTGATAAAGCCCCACTGTGAATTATTACACATTGCCCAGACTTTTTGTCCACCTTGTAGGTTTTAATTAACATAATTCTTTAGCTGTATAAAACTTTTGTAGTCTGAAAGGGTATTTTCAAGTGTATTAGTTGTACATCATAGAATGATCAATTAGAGTATTTTATGCAATATATAGGTTAGATATTGTAGGATTTCCTTGTATCACAATTTGAAATCTGAGTATAATTTTGATGGGAATAGCCTTAAGTATTATGGGGGGAAAAAATTATATTCTCTTGAGCCATCCAAGCAATGTGCTGTTGCTAGTGGCAGGGCAAATAAGATTTTAGATTGCATCTACAAAAATAATAACTACAAGTCAAAAGATGTTATAATGTCATGTTATTGTGTTCAATCTTGAGCTCCTTATCTCAATTTTAGAAAGTGCATTGAATTGTTGGAATGGGTTCAGAGGAGGGATACCTGGGATGGAAATATCATGTGAGGATAGGTTAAGACCTCTGAACGTTTCTCTTGAAAAACGAAGAGTTAGAGGGTGGTAATTGAAGTGTTTAAGATCATTAAAGGAATTGATAGTTTTGATACATCATCTTTTTTTTGTATTTAATGGTAAGATTGGCAAGACTATGAGACACATAACGTTAGGCTGGGAAAAAGTCATCTTCTGCTAAGACAGTTTTATTTTTTCTAATAAGACTGTTGGCCTCTGTAATAGGTTGCCTTCAGATGTGATAGATGTAATTAATATAAAGGAATTTAAGGAAAAGCTTGATAAATATTTGAATGATAAGGGCTGGATTTTAGGGTTGAGTTCTTTCTTAGGTTTAATTTACTGGATAGGACAGCCTAGATGGACCAAAATGTTCTTTAATGTTATATGTTGTTATAAAATTATGAAAAACATTAAACTTTTTTCATGTGTAATTTTTGTTAATAGATTGAAAAATGTTTTGTTAATTTTACTAATATTTATTGTTTTAAGAAAATTAAATACTTTGTTTAAACACTTTTCAATCTAAAAAAAGAATGTAACTTAATTATCACTTGAAATTTGATATGTGTATGTTTTTCATTTGTGTTATAATATCATAAAATATCTTTAACGCTTTTAAACTTTTTATTTTAGGAGTTCAAGATCACACAAAATGTTTCTACTGTGATGGTGGACTTAGCAGTTGGGAGCTTGGTGATGATCCATGGGTAGAACATGCCCGATGGTTCAGTAATTGTGGTTTTGTTCGAATAAACAAAGGAGATGAATTTATCAGGAAATGTTTTGTAGAACAAGAGGCTGTTCAATACCCAGTGAGTTTTATACATGTATATGCCTAAGTTAACATGCTGTGTTTTACAAAGTTAAATCCTCGTTCAGAATCCATACTCCTTAACACTACCATTTGATTAGCCAAAGAAGGATTTGAGTTTAATAGCTAAGCTTGAAAATAAAGACTATAAACTTTTGTTGGTAAAGCAAAAATAAATGATCTTTTGTTCCAGACATTAAGAAAAGCTTCATTTTATTTCCTAGAAAAAATAGACTATTGGAGATTATAGGTTTACAAATGTTTGTATGTATAGTGGCTTTGACCACTTAACTTCCTAAGTTTGTAACATCATTACTAACAGTCAGATGTTGAATGTCACATGTTCTGAAATAATTTTCAATCTCAGAAGTTATAAATGGGAGGGTGAAATCATGAGACTGGAGAATTTCAGACACAACCAAGAAATACATATCTAACCAATTTAAAGTGTTATATGCTATTACATTATCATGTCTCTTTATTAGCCATAATTTACTGAAAAATAGTTTTCATAATGCATATAAATTTTGACATTCAAAATTTTGATTAAGAATTTAAAAGCTAAAAAAGTCTAGTAGGATAGGTAGAGGTTTTTGCATGAACATACATATAAACATTTCAGAAGTAGAAGCTTTTGCACTCCTTTTTTTTCTTTTTTTTTAGTGTGACGTATTATACTACATTATTTTTTGTACAGAGACTTGTCAATTTCGCTTTCAGTTCAAGTTTTATTCTCACGGGAAACACATTGACTGGCTTAGATGAATTTGTAATGACCCTTGTTGCATAGTTAGAAAGCCAGAAAAATTGTAATGAGTTTGTAAAACAAGCTTTGAAAATATTGTTTTCTTTTTCTTTATTTCTGTTAAGCTTTTCCAATTTAACTGCATGTTTTATTTCTGTAAGTAGAAATAACTTGCATTAAGATTATTAGGAAGTTAACTGAACTTCAGAATTTTGATATTTTTTCAATATCTTCTGTGATTTTAATGAACTAACTTGTTTTTTAAGACATTCAAAGACAAAAAACAGTTCCTATTACAAATTTACTAAATAAAAGTGGCACTTATTGGCAACAAGATGTTATTTCTATGGAATATAAACATTAATTTTATATAAAATGTATAGAGAATTATCAATTTCGCTTTCAGTTCAAGCTTTATTCCCACGGGAAACATATTGACTAGCTTTGATAAATTTGTAATGGCTCTTGTCGCTAAGTTAGAAAGCCAGAAAAATGTTGATAGCCATGGAACATTCTCTGCTTTTTGTTCATTATTATTCTGTGTTATTCAGTGCATTGCTTAATTAAATAGAAAATTATTTAGTGCAGTACTACCATTAATATAAAAAGGTAGGGATAAGTGTTGTCAACAGTTGACATAAAATAAAAAAGGTAACCCAGGAAAGTACTTTTTTCTTGTTTTTGATGTGTATTCTATATTTATTATTATAAAAGTAACTAAAATATAAAAAATAGGAAACTTTTTTGTTAGTTATGGTTAGATTAGGTGAAATAAATAATAATATAATAAAATTTTCCACAAGGTACGCTCATGAGTAGCTTGTGCATAATGTAATTTGATAGCGTAATATGAGCTGCATGTTTGAAGAGTGATTTACAAAAGTATAATGGCATGACTAGTAATAAGGGTTCAGAGAGCAATAAAACAATAAAATTTAATTATAGATGTATACTGTTATGAGTGTAAAGCTATTTAGATTAAACAAATGTAATTTCATATTACAATTTGAAGTCATTGTAGAAAGAAAAAAAGGGGTTATTTAAATTTATTTAATTTCTTTTTTTGGTGGTTACAAGATCAGTCAAATTGACCAACATTGTGTAAAGTTAGGGTACAGAAAAAACAGATAAAATATAAAGTGTTTCTGGAAAAAAACGTTTGAAATATATTTAGGAGGTTTTAGAGATTACATATATAAAATTTGATATTTTTGGGGCAAAGAATAGTATTTTTAATTTTAACATGAAAATCACTTATCACTCAAACTAGTATATTAAAATACTTCATTAAAAAATCTGATATTTTGTGTGCAAAAAGCTTATAAGGTTTGCTAAAAGTTGGCCCAATTTAGTGAGGATACATCATATGTATTATAAGTTATAGTATGAAAACTATAATCAGCACAAAAGTACCTACATGTGGTGTAGGTGCTTTATGGTTGCTCGCTCTTCTGTTATTTAATATATATTATGGAAACTATAATGAGTACAAAAGTGCTTACAAGGTTGGTCAATTTGACAGACTTTATTTGAGAGAGTTAAAGGTATTCTTCATTTCACCAAACATCCACTTTTATTAGCTGCACATGGTAGCCCATATTTAAGTAAACTAAATATTATGAAAATAATCTCCAACAATAAAAAGGGTCTAAAAAAGTTTGTTTGAAATCATCTTGCAAGCCATTATTTTTTAGCTAATTTGTTTTGAGGTCATCAGTCTTAAATTCACACAATTTCATTTATAGGCTATCACCATTTCAATAAGGATTTTGGGAAAAGACATGTTTATAAGCTGATGTAAAAAAAGTGAATTCAAGTTTCAGGTGTTATCATTGAGCGTGTTAGAGCTAGTGTTTATAATTTTCATCTATTACTTTCATTAATTAACGCTATAGATATCTTTATAAGAGGATTTATTCTGATTGTACTTTATGTTGTAATGATAAATAAATTATATGAGTTTATAGGAACAGTAAAGGAATTTTTATACCTTGTTATTGTTATGTATAATCATCAGAAAGCTTGCATCTTAATAGTTTCATTATCTTGCTACAGACATATCAGGTTTTTGGTTCTCCAAATGATGAAAGTAGCTGTGAAAATGGCATTGTGCAAAGACTAATGCAGTCTGGCATGATCACATTAACTATTCAACAAGGCCTGTTTAAAGAAGAGGAGGTTCGAAATGCCGTTTCTCGTCAGGTGTATGCCACTGGAATGGGGTTTTCCACTTTGGATGACTTATGTGAAGCAATCTTTAGCCAGAGGCGTATACAAAGAGGAAATTGCGGGTATTATATTTTCTTTTCTAATAAATACACTGCTTCTGTTAATGTGACTAGTTTCTAAGAGAAACTTTCTTGCTGTTTTGACATTCAAGCCATGTTTCTAAGTTCCTTTCTTACCTTAATTCCCAAAACCCCAATATCAAATTCACTATTGAACTTGAGGAAAATGATTTTTTTACCTTTCCTAAACATCAGAATTACCAAAGAAGGTAAACCTCTATTTATCATAAAATAACTTTTACTGGTCTCTACATCAATTTCAATAGTTTTATCCCTAACTTCTTTGAACGTAATCTGGTTATATCATTGTTAAACAGAATTTTTAATCTTTGTTCTAATTATTTTATTTTATGTGAAGAAATTACCCTTCTACATAAACATGTTAAATACTGGCTATCTGACTGATTTTCTGACAAAAATTACACGCAATTTCCTAAAGAACAAATTCCAACCACAAGCCAATGTACACACCGTCCCCAAATTTTCCCTCATTATCTCCCTTCCTTTTATGGGTTTGCAATCCCTACCAATTAAAAATCAACTCTCTTCCCTAATAAAAAACTTCTACCCTCAAATTCAGCTTAGAATAATATACAGACATAGCCTCCACATTAAACACTTATATCAGTACAAAGATCAAGTACCTAAACTTCTATGTTCATGGCTCGTGTATAAATATTATATGTGTAGTGACTATAAGGTCATGTACATTGGCAAAACAAAATGCCACTTAAAAACTAGGCTGTGAACATTTAGGAGTTCCTAACAGAACCAACCATCCACTACTTAAACCCAACCACTCATCCATTTGTTCACATTCTGAAACCACAGGATCTTCAGACCTTGACCTCTACATTAAAGAAAGTCTACTCATAGCTAAAGACCACCGGACCCTTAACGACTCACAAAACTCTTTAGATCTAAAATTGTTCTAAATTTTTCACACTTAACTCACCTGTAATATATATATATGTAAACATTGTTTCATCCATCCATTTACCACTTTTTTTAATAAGTAAGTAAACTAAGGATTATGTTATTATATCATAATTTTAGTAATAGTTATCTTTGTAGCACAATTTTCAGATTTTGCTGAAGATGGAATAAGTTATTTCGAAATGTTTGAAACTTGTAAATAAGATAAATTTTTTTATATTGATGTTAAAAAATGCGTTATACAGAGTCATCCAAAAAAGCAGCATGGTAACGCATGTTGGTGCTTGTTTTAACAATGTTTATTCTGCTTTATCCAAAGTTCTTTTTAGAATAACTTTACAATACAATATACACTTGCAAAAGTTTTCTAAGAAAACTTAATTACAAGGATACTATTAGCATATTTAAAATTGTTACAACTACTCAACACTGTGTTCCTAACAATGCAATCCTTCACATTTGAAAAATGCACAAGGGCTTTAAACAGCCCCTGCCAAACAGTCTATGAGGATTATTAACAGGCTAATACTGTATCTCAATTCATTGTTTACAAAACTAGACAATAAAAGTTAACTCTGATATAAAAACTCGCCTCTGTGCATAGATTAGCTATTTCCTCTTCAACTTTACTTTGGATTTTCAACCTTTCAGTATGAATTCACAGATTAATGTGCATTCTTTTTCTGCTGATGTAAATACAATTATAACTTGCAGTTACCAACAATTTAAGAAGTTCTTTGCCTGTTGAGATTGTGATAGCTATCATTTATTGTAAAAGGTGCTGCTCAGGTTGACAAATACAGTAAGAATAAGGGTAACGTAACATCATCCAACATATGGTGGGGTTAATTTTGCTGCTTGGATCCTCTTCTACCATTCCTGCCACATATTTCCCTTCACAAATTTTGAAGCTGGTGGACAAAATGGAACGACTTTCCTCATAATATTTTTTTTACCTACTGCATATCTCTCAACTATTCCTGCCCTACCTATGCCTTCTACCTGTCATTTCTTTTTTTCTCCCCTGTTAGTTCCTCAACCAGCATCTACTTCAGCTTTTGATTTGCTCCCACTGTTTTATGTTTCGTCCTTCATGCCTTACCAGGTAATACATAGAAGTTATTGTTTAGATACAATTTATTTTTCATTAACACGTAACCCATAGGACTTAATGTTTACACATCATTTATTACTCCTTAACATGTTCTTAACACAATATATTGTTTAGAAATAGTTCATTACTCCTAAACTTGTACTACTTAAACTATAGAGTTAAATCTTAGTTTCTTATTCCTTAATATATATCACTTAGTATATTATGTTTAGTCATAGTTCATCCCTCTTTCACATGTAAATATGGATGTTGTTGATTGGTCATATTTCTTTTACTGACCATGTAAACATGGATTTTAATATTTACTTATTGTTAGTTGCTTTTTCGCATGTAATGCATAGTTGTTGATATTTTATTCTGGTTTATTACTCCTTAATGTGTCCAAATAATAGGTAATTTTTAAAATCTTGTTAATTCTTCTTCAGATATACTTTTAGTAGATAATGCTTAGACTTAATTGATTATAGCTTACCATATATACATCACTATTAAAGTTTGATTCTAGTTCCTTATTCTTTAATATGTATACCTAGAAGATAATGTTTAGTCTTGGTTCATTATTCCTTGCCATGTACACATCCATGTCAGTCTGTAGTTCTAGTTCTTACACTTTAACATATCCATATAGAAGATAATGTTTTGATATAATTCATTACTCCTTATCATGTACACATGGAAGATAATGCTTAATCTTAGTTGACTATACATTGCCATGTACCCATAACTGTTAATGTTTGGTTATACATGTTAAAGAATAAGGAATTAGAACCAAACATTAACAGTTAATGTTTATTTCTTGTTATTTACTTCTTCACATGTACACATGGTAGATAATGCTTAGTCTTGGTTAATTATTCCTTGCCATGTATATATTCTTGTTCAGGTTTGGTTCTAGTTCCTACTCCTTAACATGTCAACATAGAAGATAATGTTTAGATATAGTTAAATCCTCCTTACCATGTCTCTCTTAGAATATCATGTTTGATCATTGTTCATTGATCCTTTCCATATACACAACAGTTGATGTTTAGAAATAGTTACTTATTCTTAATGTGTATAGTTAGATGTTAATGTTTACTTATTCATTACTTCTTCACATATAACACATAGAGCAGTCCATCTAGGGGAAGGAAAACCCTGATTCTAAACCTCCGCTGCCTTGCGGGATACCCAGTAGTGGGGAAGGCTTCGGGAGTTAATCCCGAGGAAAAATCCGGAGTGGAGCCCCGTAGTCGGTCAGGCGGCGTGCGACGTCACTTTCCGTCAAGTTCAATAGCTGTGGCATGTGCAGCTACTACTTCCTGGTCCCCTGGATCTCGTTGTGGAGGGTATTGCCTGCCCAAGCATGTGAAGTCTGGTTACACTTAATTGCACGTAAGAAATCTGTAACGGTTCAACGGGCAAATGAGCAATGACCAGCACCGCATTGTGGAGTGCGAAGAGCGCGGCGAGGCAGATAGGAAGTCACGGTCATCCACTGCATCCTGATCTATCCCCAGTCGTCTTGACTCGTTCTTGTCACTGGATCCGGATGGGAAGGGATGAGAGAGTGAGGTCGACGACTCGCGCAACTCTTCCTCACTATAATCCAAGTCCAACGCACGTCACGACATCAACCAAAGTCCTGCGGCGATAGGCCGATTGCAGTGCAGTAGGTGTGGACAACCATGTGAACTGGGAGGATAGATTTCTTTGGAGAACGAAGGTCCGGCAGGGTTTGGTGACAGCAAATGAGCAATGACCAGCACCGCATTGTGGAGTGCGAAGAGCGCGGCGAGGCAGATAGGAAGTCACGGTCATCCACTGCATCCTGATCTATCCCCAGTCGTCTTGACTCGTTCTTGCCACTGGATCCGGATGGGAAGGGATGAGAGAGTGAGGTCGACGACTCGCGCAACTCTTCCTCACTATAATCCAAGTCCAACGCACGTCACGACATCAACCAAAGTCCTGCGGCGATAGGCCGATTGCAGTGCAGTAGGTGTGGACAACCATGTGAACTGGGAGGATAGATTTCTTTGGAGAACGAAGGTCCGGCAGGGTTTGGTGACAGCAGAATGTAAACGTCGATTGGTTGTCGAGGGGAAGCGTGCAGCTCGGAAGGATCAGGTGCGGTCGACTCAAAACGGGACACCAAGCCATATATGCGTGGTCGAGGCTTCCTGGCTCGGATAGGACTCCTGAGCCAACTCCGTATCCACAGATAGACCAAATGATGTCGTGGTCTTCTTCGAACTTCGAAGGACGAACAACAACAACAACAACAACAACATATAACACACACAATATGGTGTTTAATTTTAGTTCCTTACTCCTTATTTCACTTTGTAGGTAATGTTTCATCATAGTTCATTACTCCTTTACATCTACCCTTAGTAGGTACTGTTTAGTCATAGTTCATTACTCCTTTACATCTACCCTTAGTAGGTACTGTTTAGTCATAGTTCATTACTCCTTTACATCT